TTTGTTTTTGTGCTGCGCAGGGAGGACCTTGTCGAGTCAGTCGAGCGTGGCGTAGAGAACGAGCCGGGGGCGGTGGTAGATATTGTCTTGCCTTATGTTGCAGTACGGCCGTTGGAATCTTCCGATATGAACGGCGTGAAGGCGTTGAGATTTGTAAGGGGTTTTGATCCGATGGCGGGTTTCCCCTTGTTTCTGATTTGCGTTGTTTTAGGTGCTTTTCGGATGTACTCTCCGACCCACGAGTGGTGGTTATTCACTGGCGTAAAGAACCAAGGGAGGGTGTTCGTGCGTGGAGGTAGATTAGTCGGATTGTTCCAAATCACTGGCGGTTTCGTGTACCGCAGATGGGATTGCCTTGAGGGGCGACTAGGAGAGACCTTGAGATACGAGTTGCGGGCCCCCTTTTCGACTGGCTTTGGGTCTGGCACTCTTCCTCCCTCCTTCTCCCTCATGTCCCCCTACGATAATACATGCCGTTAACAACACTCTCTGGAGGTCACGCAACAAGGGCATACCAACATGTCTCATCAGCAGCGTCACGAGCATATGCGTGTCATCGCGATCGGATGCTGCAGCTAGGAGCTAGACAAGTTGCTAGATTTCCCCAGATTGGCTATTCCTGCCTCAAACTGTTTCAGGGCGATTTGATCGCGGGCGGTGAGCTCTGCTGTAGATTCTGCTCCCCGCTGTAGCTCCACAACGAGAGACGCCCACAGAATGACCAGGGTATAGGCTTTTAGCTACGGGCTAGGCCTTCAATTCAAGTCACGCAGCAAGCTCCACCTCTCAGCGGTAGTCCAGCTACAGCGCATCGCGCAATCTCGCTCTCAATCAGAAACTTCGCTCTCAATCACACGAAAACCTTGTTATATTGGTGAGCGCGTTTGTGAAGTACCGAAATGTACCACGTGCACCACGTGCACACCATCACCATTACCCGATATAGTTTTCTCTACGCTTCGTTTACTTGATGCATATCCCTTACCGATTCCTTTCATATATCACAGGCCGAGATTGTTCAAACGAGGCAAACTGTCTTTTCCCACACAACCCTGCGCGGTGGTGGGTCTGAAATGGGTGCGGTCGACTCCGTCTTTGAAGCCATCGCCAAACGCTGTCCGCAGCACAACCCTTCGCCTTGGACGAACGACGTGTATGAACAACGGCGGCTTGTCGCGTACACAAGAGAGGCATTGGGGCTCAACTGGAGATATAGCGTCACCTGTCCGGTCGGCGATCACAGCGTGCGCCAAACGACTCCTCACCAATCTGCCACGTACAGAGACGCCACCATAATCACCATTCCCGATGGACACTCCACTTCCATCAACAATACGATTTTGGATTTCTTCGGTTCTGGTAGCGCTTCAGATCTTGCTATTCCAGGCCAGGCCGTATGCCCACACTGCGCCGATGAGGTTTCGCAATCGATGTGCCAATGGACTCTGTTGTCATACACGGAGTACACGGCCCCAGAACGGCTATTTTTCCGATCGGTCCAGGTATTCCAAGGGACGCTTGGCGAACCCCCTACGGTTTCCCACTCTCTTCCCTTATAGGGCCGTTTTAAACGGACCGACTTTTTGTCAAAATTTTTGAAAGTGTCAAAAAAATGGAACCTGTATGTAGGCGTTTGTNGTCCAGGTATTCCAAGGGACGCTTGGCGAACCCCCTACGGTTTCCCACTCTCTTCCCTTATAGGGCCGTTTTAAACGGACCGACTTTTTGTCAAAATTTTTGAAAGTGTC